TCTACACACACGCAATCCCACAAGCAGGCTCCAAACATATGCACCATGCACTTTCCTGGCCCTTTTGTCCTCTGGTATTCCACTTGTGGAGACACCAGAGACAATTTAAAAGCAAACACAGCACAAGCATGTTATTAATTTGCTTGCGCTGCGCAGAACAAATTCAGGGCCTTTTTCTAATGCCAGAGCTCTTCAGCAGGGCTCTGGGCATTGAACCAACATGCTCACTTTGAGAGGGGGCGTGTTGTCATTAGTGATGACAAAACACACACTCTCTGGCCCCGCCCCCTTCTTAGGGGGCCGCTCTGATTGAAAAATGCCCGGGCCTAATTTTTTTCCCAGTCCGGCCCTGCTCCTTGCTGCCACAAGGCCAGTTTCCACAATGCACCTCCCAATATGTACATATATGCAGAAAGTTATACTGCTAGTTTGGGGTATGATTGAATGGTGAATGTGACTAGGTGGGTGGTTGGATGGTAAGTGGGGCAGGGCTGGAATAGGGTGTGTGTATGTGTGTTGAGGCTGGTGGTGTATGTTTGTGGGAATGTTGCTTTTTTGGGAGGTGGGGGTTACGTGTATGGGTGCTGTTTCTTATGTTACATTTGGGTCTTTAGTGCATATTCTGAAGATTCTCCCAAAAGCTTGTCATTACAAAATCCTGTTAGTCCAATAAAAATGGTTTTACAAGATACAAAGTTAATCTATTATTTTATACATATATGTGTTTATTATATGTCTAGTTGGGGGTATGATAGAATAGTGAATGTGACTAGGTTGATGGTTGCATGATAAGTAGGACAAGGCTGGGAGAGGGTGTGTGTGTGTATGTGTGTGGGGGCTGCTGCTTATGTTGCATTTGGGGCTGTAGTGGGGGTTTATGGGCTTTAGTTAGGGCTTGTGGCTGTAGTAGGGGGACAGGGGCTTCATTGGAGTGGTGGGGGCAGGGAGGGTGGTAGTGCCTATACTGGAGGGATAGAGACTGTAGTTGGGGTGTGGAGGTAGTAGTGGGTGATATTGTCTGTAGTAGGGGATAGGGGCTTTAGTGGGTGGTAGAGACTATTATGGGGTGGATAGTGCTATAATTAGGGATATGGTCTGTAGTGGAGCAGTGGGTATAGGGCTATAGTATCTATAGTGGTAACTGTAGTGAAGGAGAGATAGTAGTGAAGGAGAGATAGTGGAGATAGTGGAGATATAGGGGCTGTAGAGGGGGCAGTAGCTATAGTGGGGCTAGGGGCTATAGTGGTAGATGTAGTGGGGGATAGTGGATATAGTAAGGGGTAGGGGTTTTTAGTGGGAGATAGGGGCTATGGTAGAGGACATGAGTTGTAGTGTTGAAATGGGGGCTGTAGTAGGGTATAGGTGCTATAAGAAAAATAAAACATTGTTATTTTAAAAAACAGACTCTGAGCTTTTCAAGACTACCCACTGTACTGCTCACGTTTGTCTAAGGAAATTTCATTGCCATACTAGATTTTAGAAACTTGTTACTGATGGGTAAAGCTGAAACACCTGAACTCAATACCTAACTGGGGATGTTCACTAGAATTGTGCATAAATCCTTTTCACCTGTGATGAATCAAATTCCTGTTAATCTACGCTCAAACTAAGCAATCCATCCTGGATTTAACTGTGAAACCTCCATAGGTAAATCCCAGATCAGAGATATATATTATTATTATTATTGATCCGCTCAACAGTACTTACTCATTTTAAGAACTGGACTGATCCTGCTGCAAGCTGAATTTATAAGACTCTACAGGTAAATCCCGGAACGATTGAATTATCTGGGCGCAGATTAACAGGCATTTGATTTATGTGCCGCAGGTGAAACGAATTTGTGCACAAGTCTAGTGTCTAAATACCTTCGGCCATATAGTGTGTGTAAGGGGACACGTTCAGCTTTCAGTAGGATCAACCAGCCCCAAACTCTTAAAATGAGTAATTACTACTGAATTGATGAATGATAACATTTTACGCTGATCCTTAATCTACACATCCCTTTAATATACGTATGCTTTCTTATTTAGAATAGAGATCGGAGATGGATAAGTGAAATTAGATTTTTTACCTAGAACGTAATGAGCAGTCCCAGGTTAAAGTGAAGTAGAATTGTCATTTTTTCCCCCCCAATTTGGGGAAATTACAGTCCTGAATCTGTTATTTATTTACATGCTAATGTCTATTAGTTACATAGTTACTACATTACATTGTTAAACGCAGATTGGTCAAGCCATTCTGGGTGGGCATAACCCAGAATCCTTTGCAGTAGTATCATCACTGCAAATTGGAGATGTCTCTGGGAAAAGGAAGTCTTATGGCTTGATCTGTGTTTAACAATGTACTGACTATACACTGACTTCAGATGAAAGGGGTTTTTAATCAAAATTTTCCCCACCATAACTTTCTTGTTTTCTGTTACATAATTACATAGGTTTAAAAGAGACATGTGTCAATCAAGTTCTGCCTTTCTCGCATCTGTTTTTTGCTGTTGCCCCAAAAGAAGGCAAAAAACCCCAGTTTGAAGCACTTTTGCAACAAACTAGGAAAGAACATCGTTCTTGACCCCAGAATGGCAGTCAGATTTATCCTTGGATCAAGGAGCTATTACCCTACAGTGTGATTAGCCACTGACAGTGTGGAAGAAATCATACTCCCATAATTCTATTACTTTTCAATAATATTATGATAATTTTCAGATTGGTAAAAAAATGGGCCCTATAACTTATGCCAATCACCATTCTGCTAATAAGGAGTTATCAATGGAATCAGACATCTAAGTGAATTAAACACTTAAAAAGGCTTGAAAACACATTTCAACCAGTCAACTAAAACCCCAAATATTGTTTGTATATTAGCAGAATTCAGAAATAATATTCACCCAATATATTTTCTTTAAAGTTGAAATAAACACTCTTTAACATATACTATCAGAAGGGGAGGAGACTGACAGACATGCTGGACAGTCACAAAGCAAATGGGCTCCTCGGAAATGTTCTAAAATTTACTGGAAATATTACTTATTTTTAATCACTATACATACCTACCTACAAAGAATCAGTTTATACTTTTTTTGTCATTTGGTGCAGGCTCGTCGGTCTGATTTCCTCAAGGTGTTCAACTGTTGGAGCCTTCTGCGGGTCTGGGTGAGTGAAACGGCTGATCACTAAATAGCTAAATATGACTGGCTGTTTGAGAGATTCTTGGATTGGATGGATCAACGAGCAACATCGCACCTACCTTCATCTTACCTGCTGGTTGGAGATCATTGAGAATTTTGAGGCAGAAGCACCAATGACCTTTGTTGCCACTATTCTCCAGGAAACATTCCTTGGATATTACTTACTCTGGGACAGTGGAGTTTTGATGACCACTTCCATAAAAGCCTGGTATGGCTCTATTGCAGCTGCGTGGCAATTACGCACTCCAACTTTACCCAACACAGGCATAGGTTGATTGACCATTCAAGCTGGATAACTGCCCCTTAGAGAGGCCTCCTTTCAAGACTGCAGTGTGCATCAGAATTTAGTTTTCATCAGTGGCCTTTGAGTGGTTTACTCATTGGCGTTAAGCTAGTTTTGTTTATTTTAATTACCGCCAATTAAGATTATTCTCAGTGCATAGATTATATTATATTGTACATACATTATATTATCGGTTTAATTTATTTTGCTTCCCTTGTGTCACGACACTGCTTAGTTGATTTGCCCTCGTGCAGTACTCACACTCACCACTGTTTCTGTTTGGCACTGTTCCTGATTTCTTTTCATTAAGCACTTCACCTGGTCCTTGATTAGCACCTATTTAGTTTGGTTTCTCCCCTCACTCCTTGCCAGATCATTACCTTTTGTTTCCTGTTTCCCTGGTCTCCTGTGTTCCTGGCTCCTGAATACTGTGACTTGGTCCTTTATCCTGCGTTACTGTGTTCTCCTGGTCCTTCGTTGCTGTGTCCTCCGATCCAGTGCTCTGGTTCCGTGGTCTCTGATTTACTTCCAGCGATCCTGTACCTGCAGCCTTGCTGGTTTATTCGTTCTTGTTGTCACTACATTAGTCTTGTGACTCTGGATCTGTGTCCTACCTGATACCTGTGGTAGCTGCACAATCCTACCCTAATACCAAAGGACTGTTACAGTATTTGTTGCCTGCACGATTCGTGCTTATTTTGATTTACAGTGTATATATATATTGTGGCCTTGTCTGTGTATGTATATATTTTGTTTTACTTTCTGCTTTGGTTCCCTGTAAATATATATTTCATGATTTAACATATTTAATTTGTGTCTTGGCAGTTATTTCTTTGCTACAGTGGTTCCCACATTTAAAGGGACAGTGCTTCTCCAGGGCAGCACCCCTTCATGTCATTACAGAATGATCTGGCCATTTGGAACCAGCAAAGAATAATGTCCAGGATCGCAATGGATAAAATTGTTGGTATTAACGCTGATTCACAGCAAGAGTATGCTCTCGACTTGTTGTGATCAGTTAAAACAAATCCAGCGGCAGATAGAAAAGGCCTCTACCTTATGGTTGTCTACTATAAATGTTTCTTTCCAGGTTCAGAAATCTGTATTATGTGGACTTATCACTGAACTGCAAAGTAATCACAAACAAATATGTGACCCTTTGTTTTCTCAGTTACCCAATTGCAAAAAATGGTTGAGAAAACACCCTGTGATAAATAGGGTGAATGAACTTCTTTGTGTGTCTCTTAAAGAAACCTCACGTAACAAATCTTTATCGTTTATGCAGAAACAGTTAAGAGTAATGTAGAATAATTACACTGCCTTGTTGCCTGAAATGCATTTTCTTATTGATCTGAAACAGGAAAGGATGAGTGTATTTATGCCTGATAATGATGTTTATATACCCTTTTCTGATTTACACAGCATCCTTAATCCTCCTGACTCTGACTTGGACATATGGCTTGTTGATCCTCCCGACTGCAAAACTGAAGTTCCTCGTGAATTTAAAGCTGAATACTTTCCAGCCCAAACTGAAGACGAAGATGTTGAGGGGTTATATAGCACTGGTGATCCCCTCATGGACCTGGTCTTTGATGAACTGGGTGCTCGTTGCATAGCAGCTTTGGAGGACGAGCAGTCTGAATGTGAAGGTCGTACCAGTACGCAGTTTCCTAATGTTGTCTCGGTACCAGAGACCCATAATACCCTTATACCACCGTCTCTTTTGTGCAAGATCCACTCGCCTATTCCCAGACTGAGAATCCTGACTACCAAGATGAACGCTCTCGACACCGTTCAGGAGGGTACAAGTCTGGTCAGAGAGTGTCTCAAGCAAAATCTGCCCAGCCACGAAGCAGAAACAGACTCACTGGAGACCACAACCAGAGTTACTAATTCCTCCCTCACAGTGCCAATTGAGGAGACCACCAGTAACCTTAACCAGGAGACTGGATTTGATCTGGGAGTCTGTCCCACAAAAGACAATGCATTTGATACTGTAAGTGTCTACACAAATACCGACTCTATAGAATCAGAGGTTCCTATTTCTTCATCTCTTCCCAAGTCATCCTACGAATTTGACTCAGATCAAATTGACATGGTTGAGTCATCTAACACTGGAGACTCGAAACTGGAAGAGTCACCAATAAAATTTGCTCCGGGCGATGCAAGTTACGATAAGGCGGGACCAATGAAGTTGGAAACCAATCTCGTTGAAGGTGTTCCTCATGTCAAAAGGCCACCACGTAGGAAACGTGCTAAACGACCTACTTCTTTCAAAACTGTAACAGGACTTCACCAGCACCAAAGCCCTGTGGACTAAAACAGTGAAAATGTTGAAATTATTGCAAGGGAATACCATTACTGGGGAATACAGCCGTTCGTATGATTTCAGACGAATTCTTTGTGTTAAGTATGGATGGCCGGCATTTCGGCACTTTACACGTGGCCGCGGCCATTTTACGTGCGAACAGCGGTGGTTGCCCGTCGACGCGTGGAACTAAAATCGGATACGCAAACAGGCGAACACCGCTGAGACCTCCATACAACCAGAACTTCGCACGGAAACTACCGAATCACGGGCCATTCGGTAGTTTCACTTAATCAGCTATGGGGAATCCAGCGAACTCGGAGATAGTTGTGGATGGCAAGAATTTCGTCTTTTGTAACCGGCGAACAGAGACCGACTGCAGGGCCAAAACTTGTGGAACTATTTTCGGCTAGAAAATCCGTGCAGTCGGTCAAAACTTCAAACCTCCATAACTCCCGAACCCCATAACCGAATGGGCTGAAACTTCGACAGATTGTTCCCCTAACCAAGACCTTTCAAGCGGTACTGGACTTAAAGGTGTACCCCCTGTTTTTGGGGTACATCCAGAACTAGGGTGAAAAATGGTACGTTATAATTATGTTATGTGTTTATCTGAGGGGAGGAGACGTGGGGGTGTTACCCTGTGTGTAATTGGTTATTTTCATCCTCCCCCTGGGAGTGTCCTGTGTGTACTTGTTCCTAATAAAAAGCAGGCTGGTTCTCCCAGACCTCAGATCTTCTTGACCCTTCAAAACGTAGCCTTGTCTCGTTCTTGGAAGGGGATTATTTGGGAATGTTATTCTGCTCCTGTTACAGCTGAACCTGACTTTTACTCTGGATATCGTAGATGGGATTATACCAGCTTACTTCTCCACAGCAGCTTGCAGGGAAAAAGGACGTCTCCAACGGCCGATACCCTCTCTCTACCAGGGTAGCCGTTACATTGGTGGCAGCGGTGGGATGGTCCTTTTATCCAACAAACAAGCACTGAATGGAGTCACAGTATGCGAAGCTGAAAAGACCCACACTAAAGGATCTTTTGGAGAATCGTGGTAGGAGTGCCAGCAATAGACCACGGAGGGAGCTGATAGCTGACCTGCTGGAGCTGGACGAGATGGACAGGTCCATGGAGGTAACTGAACCCATGGCACCCATCAGTGAGGACGATGTGATTACTGCCATTGTGCAGCGGAGATTAGCTTTGTATCCAGTCACGTCTACAGAACTAATAACCCAACTGTTCCGGGAAGCAAGGGAAGAAATACAAACCAAGAGGGAACAAGAAACGGAACTGGTAAGAGCCCGACAGCTCACTACCCAGACAGTTCCCACCCCGCTACCCACTACTACGGTAAAGAAAATCCCCTTTACTGCATTTAAAGCCTTTGTAGAAAATGACGAGGAAATTGATGGGTATTTGGCTGACTTTGAAAGGCAGTGCTCACTACATCACATACCGCCAGAGCAATGGGTCACTATCCTGGCGGGTAAACTGTCAGGGAAAGCTAATGAGGCTTTCCGAGCACTCACTACAGAGGAAATCACGCAGTACCAAAAAGTAAAAGAGGCACTGCTCACCAGGTATGCGGTAACCCCAGAAGCATACCGTCGCCGCTTCCGGGAGTCCAAAAAGAAAGTTGTGGACTCCCACATGGAATGGGCAAACCGACTACAGAGAATAGCATCTCACTGGGTCCAAGGGTGCAAAGCCCATACGGGTGAGGAGGTGTTACAGTTGTTCTTAATGGAACATTTCTTCCAAGATTTGGCTGCGGACATACAAGACTGGGTACGAGATCGGCGCCCCGCCAATTTAAAGGAGGCGGCTCGGCTGGCCGACGAATATGCCGAGACAAGGAAAGTAAGCCAGGGTACTACACGACAAGCTCATAAAATAGAGCCACGTGCCCCAGCCGCTGTCTCACGCCCAGAATTTCGAGCTCCAGTCCCACCAGGACCACCCCGGCCTCAGGGGCCTACTAACTACCCCCGGGATTTGTCAAAGGTGACGTGCCATCACTGCAGCAACCTCGGACATATTGCCCGGTATTGTCCCCTAAGATCCAGTAACAACAACTGGAGGCGTACAACTCCCAGCACAGAGGCCCCTGCAGCACGACCCGCTGCGGCTCACTGTCTGGAAGCCGAAATGGGCCCTGAAGAATGTCTGGGGATTTTGTATGAAGCAGACCCCATACAAGCTGCTTCCCCAGACAATCGACAACATCACCGACAGGAGGTTAAGGTGAATGGACAAGCAGCACAAGGCCTAAGAGACACCGGGGCTACCATCACTTTGATCCAACAGCACCTAGTGAAGCCGGAGGATGTGTCTACCCGCACTGTTGCTGTTCGGGTCGCCGGGGGCGCTGTTTTTCGCTTGCCCACTGCCCGAGTACACTTAGATTGGGGAGTCGGATCAGGAAAGACCACCGTCGGCATTATGGACAACTTGCCTGCCGAGGTCGTATTGGGAAATGACATTGGACCTTTAACTTCAGCATATTTGCCCACACCTGCTGCCGCCTGTCCCGTAACCACCCGTTCACAGTCCCGTGTCGCAGATGATCCTAATACAGGCCGGGAGACCCAGGTAAGCCAAGCACCCACATGTCACCCCACTACGATAAGCAGGCCCATAGCTTGGGACACCCCAGAGGAGTTTGGGAGAGAAACTAGAGAGGACCCCACCCTCCAAAAGTATCGGGAATTAGCTGACAGTGGGGGGGACGGACGGGAACGTTTTCTATGGGATGGGGACAGGTTATACAGACTGGCTGAAGGCAGAAAGAGAGGCGGTGCCCCTTCGCAGAAGCGCCAACTGGTGGTACCCAGAAAGTACCGGTTGGAACTTCTCCGAATTGGCCACGACATTCCGTTGGCAGGGCATCTAGGGGGTAACCGCACCACCTTCAGGATCACCCAGACCTTCTTTTGGCCGGGGATCTCGAAGGATGTGCGACGTTACTGCAGTACTTGTGACGTATGCCAACGGGTAGGGAAGAGAGGGGATCACCCTAAAGCTCGACTGTTACCTATGCCTGTGATCGAGGAACCATTTAGCAGGGTAGCAGTCGACCTAGTGGGACCCCTACCTAACCCCAGTCCCTCTGGTAAGAAATACATCCTTACCGTGGTGGACTATGCTACTCGCTACCCAGAAGCCGTCGCTCTGACGAATATCCAGGCTGACACTGTCGCCAGTGCTTTAGTCGGGATATTCACCCGAGTGGGATTCCCCCAGGAAATCCTGTCCGACAGAGGGACCCAGTTTACCGCAGACTTAACCCAACAGCTGTGGAAGGTCTGTGGTATTAAGTCCCTGCTTAGTTCCCCGTACCACCCACAGACTAACGGTCTCTGTGAACGCTTTAACGGTACCCTAAAGCAATTGCTGAGGACCTTTACAGCGGAATACAGAGACTGGGAACGATTCTTGCCGCACCTCCTGTTCGCTTATCGGGAGGTGCCGCAGGAATCCACAGGGTTCTCTCCCTTTGAACTGCTCTATGGCCGGAGAGTACGAGGACCTCTCGACCTCATCCGGGAGCACTGGGAGGGGGAGACAGAACACGACGGTGTACCCATCGTGCCATACGTATTAGAAATGCGGGACCGTATGGAGCAGTTAGCCCGGATGGCACGGGACCACCTCCATGCGGCCCAAGGGCACCAGAAACGTTGGTACGATCAGGGCGCCCGCCAGAGAACGTTCCAAGTAGGCCAGAAGGTGCTGGTACTTAGACCTGTCAAAGGGAATAAGCTCCAGACCTCCTGGCAGGGCCCTTACAAAGTGGTAGCACAAGTCTGTGACACCACCTACGTAATCGCCAGCAACAAAGATGAAAGGATCCGGAAGTCCTTTCATGTAAATCTATTAAAGGAATATCAGGAAAGACCCGAGGATATAGCCGCCATATGCATACCCGCCACCGAAGACCCTGACAGCTTACCCATACCCGACCTATTAGCTAACCCAGAACCTAAAACCCTACTCAATACCGTACAGCTAGGGGAGCGGTTAACTCCCGCCGAAAAGGGACAGATCCGACAGCTGCTGACTGAGAAAGGGTTGACGTTTTCCCAAGAGCCCGGGTACACTCCCTTAGCAACCCACTATGTAGAGACCCCAGGACAAACCCCTCTCCGACAAACTCCCTATAGGATCCCTGAGGCAGTAAAAGAGGAGATGAGGAAGGAGATCCAAGAAATGTTAAGACTAGGGGTGATAGAGCCCTCAGACATCCCGTGGCCTCCCCGGTGGTTCTAGTTCCCAAGAAGGACGGAACCACTCGGTTCTGTGTCGATTATCGACGTCTCAATGACAGAACCGTGACAGACGCCTACCCCATGCCCCGAGTAGACGAGCTATTAGATCGCATTGCCAGGGGACGCTATCTGACCACCATCGATTTGTGCAAAGGATATTGGCAGATCCCCCTGGACAAGGAGGCTATCCCTAAGTCGGCCTTTGTCACCCCATTTGGCTTGTACCAGTTCAAAGTCATGCCATTTGGGATGAAAAACGCCCCGGCTACATTCCAGCGCTTAGTGGACCGCCTCCTTGATGGCTTCCAGGATTTCGCTTGCGCGTACCTGGATGACATTGCGATCTATAGCGAAACCTGGGGGGAGCATTTAAAGCATGTCGAAGCCGTACTGGATCAGATTCGAGCCGCAGGCTTGACTCTGAAACCAGAGAAGTGTAACTTCGGCATGGCCGAAGTCCAGTACCTGGGACACCGGGTGGGATGTGGGAAGCAGCGCCCAGAACCTGCTAAAGTTGAAGCGGTAGCTAACTGGCCCACACCCCACACCAAAACCCAGGTCTTAGCATTTTTGGGGACGGCAGGATATTATAGGAGGTTTGTCCCAGACTATAGCGCCATCGCAAAACCCTTGACAGACCTAACCAAAAAGAACTTGCCTAGGATAGTCCTGTGGTCTCCCGCCTGTGAAACCGCCTTTCAAGCCCTAAAGAATGCTCTAATTCATGCACCTGTCCTGTCTGCCCCCGTCCCTAACAAAAGATTTGTCGTCCATACAGATGCATCCATGTATGGACTGGGGGCAGTTCTAAGCCAGGTCGGTGAAGATGGAAGCGAGCACCCTGTCGCGTATCTCAGTAGAAAACTGTTACCTAGGGAAGTGAGTTACGCGGCAGTGGAAAAGGAATGCTTGGCCCTAGTCTGGGCACTAAAGAAACTCACCCCATATTTGTACGGACAGGAATTTACTCTAATCACCGACCATAACCCTCTGGTATGGCTGAATAGAGTAGCTGGAGACAATGAACGTTTATTAAGATGGAGCCTCGCACTGCAACCCTATAACTTCTCTATCCAATACCGTCCTGGCAAATTTAATGGAAATGCCGATGGTCTGTCCAGACAAACAGAACTATTACCCTAACAATGGAGCGGACAGCCCCAAGTTGACCCGAAAAGGATCAATCCGGGTCTGCCGGGGTGTTCCACAAAAGGGGAGCAGTGTAACAGGACTTCACCAGCACCAAAGCCCTGTGGACTAAAACAGTGAAAATGTTGAAATTATTGCAAGGGAATACCATTACTGGGGAATACAGCCGTTCGTATGATTTCAGACGAATTCTTTGTGTTAAGTATGGATGGCCGGCATTTCGGCACTTTACACGTGGCCGCGGCCATTTTACGTGCGAACAGCGGTGGTTGCCCGTCGACGCGTGGAACTAAAATCGGATACGCAAACAGGCGAACACCGCTGAGACCTCCATACAACCAGAACTTCGCACGGAAACTACCGAATCACGGGCCATTCGGTAGTTTCACTTAATCAGCTATGGGGAATCCAGCGAACTCGGAGATAGTTGTGGATGGCAAGAATTTCGTCTTTTTGTAACCGGCGAACAGAGACCGACTGCAGGGCCAAAACTTGTGGAACTATTTTCGGCTAGAAAATCCGTGCAGTCGGTCAAAACTTCAAACCTCCATAACTCCCGAACCCCATAACCGAATGGGCTGAAACTTCGACAGATTGTTCCCCTAACCAAGACCTTTCAAGCGGTACTGGACTTAAAGGTGTACCCCCTGTTTTTGGGGTACATCCAGAACTAGGGTGAAAAATGGTACGTTATAATTATGTTATGTGTTTATCTGAGGGGAGGAGACGTGGGGGTGTTACCCTGTGTGTAATTGGTTATTTTCATCCTCCCCCTGGGAGTGTCCTGTGTGTACTTGTTCCTAATAAAAAGCAGGCTGGTTCTCCCAGACCTCAGATCTTCTTGACCCTTCAAAACGTAGCCTTGTCTCGTTCTTGGAAGGGGATTATTTGGGAATGTTATTCTGCTCCTGTTACAGCTGAACCTGACTTTTACTCTGGATATCGTAGATGGGATTATACCAGCTTACTTCTCCACAGCAGCTTGCAGGGAAAAAGGACGTCTCCAACGGCCGATACCCTCTCTCTACCAGGGTAGCCGTTACAAAAACACTGTCTGATAATGCTGAAACACCTAAGGTGGAAGCTTCAGTGGAGGAGGAGGGTATTGTGCCAAAGGCAGCTCACGACTTTGATGTGGAAAGGTGTGATGATTCCAACTGTAACCCTTCTATCTCTGGGGGTTCGACGATTGGCACCTTTCTTACAACCGTAACTATGACAAATGAGTTGTCACCAAGTAAAGAAGACTGTTATCTTCAAATGGAAGACAAAGAGCCAGAGTTGGTGCAACGTGACAAACCCCTGATGGATCAAGCCCAAGTAAAGGATCTAAATGAGACCGGGCTTGTTCAGAACCTACAGTTTGAAAAAGACTCGCTAATCCTATGTAAGCCTAATACAGTTCTTCAAATTACATGCTCTGGTAGAACAATTTCTCTGCTGCAAGAGGAAACCATAACTACCACACTTGTACCCGAACCAAGCGTCAAAGGTCATTCTAATCAGCCGCTTAACCAAACTACAAAGGATGTGAGTGAAACTGAACAAGAAGGTAGCATTCACACATCTGGTACTTGTTCCCATGATGAAGGAGGCTCCTTCTATGACTCATCAGTTGCCATGTCTGTCACTCCACCTAAACCTCAGCAAGTATTAAAAGAAGACTTGACTTCAGTTAAGAGTACTTCTACATCAATTAAAGACTTACCTCAAACTGAGCTCACAAGTAAAGACAACGATTTACGTAACCAGGTATCTCTAGTCGTTACAGAATATCAGTTTGAGAGAGAGTCGTCCTTGATTCAGCTGGCCCCATGCTCTGAGATATTGGGGGAGCTGTTCCTTGATGCATTTCTGCGGTCTGAGGAGGAGGGTTCGCAGAGTGCTCCTGATCCTGTACTCGTTAATCTAGGGGATTCTCCTCAATTGATTCCAGTGGTGCCTACCCAAGATAATGCAGAGACTGTTCTCCCTTCTACAGAAGTTGCATCACAGTCTTTATTCCGAGGATCTTACAAGCCAGAAACCAAGTCAGACCCAGGACTTCTGAGTGGTGCACCAGTTACCAGCAATAGCCCCAGATTTAGTGGGTTGCACGTTTATCAGTCACCGGTAATGAATGTTTCTTAACGTGTGTGCCTTTAATTTCTATTTCTGTGTCTGCCCTTCTCATGTTAACTGTTACTCTACAGTCCTTGCTTTTGTATGTTTCTATTCTGCCTCGTTGGTTTCTCCTGTGGGATTCTCCACCTCTCATTCCTCCCGAACCTCCTCCTTATTTCCTCTACTGGTTGGGTGACCCTGATTTTCTTCTGTCACCCATGGGGGGTCTTGGGGATTTGGAGCGCCAGGAGTCGCTCTTTGAGGGGGGGTACTGTCACGACACTGCTTAGTTGATTTGCCCTCGTGCAGTACTCACACTCACCACTGTTTCTGTTTGGCACTGTTCCTGATTTCTTTTCATTAAGCACTTCACCTGGTCCTTGTTTAGCACATATTTAGTTTGGTTTCTCCCCTCACTCCTTACCAGATCATTACCTTTTGTTTCCTGTTTCCCTGGTCTCCTGTGTTCCTGGCTCCTGCATACTGTGACTTGGTCCTTTATCCTGCGTTACTGTGTTCTCCTGGTCCTTCGTTGCTGTGTCCTCCGATCCAGTGCTCTGGTTCCGTGGTCTCTGATTTACTAACAGCAATCCTGTACCTGCAGCCTTGCTGATTTATTCGTTCTTGTTGTCACTACATTAGTCTTGTGACTCTGGATCTGTGTCCTACCTGATACCTGTGGTAGCTGCACAATCCTACCCTAATACCAAAGGACTGTTACAGTATTTGTTGCCTGCACGATTCGTGCTTATTTTGATTTACAGTGTATATATTTTGTGGCCTTGTCTGTGTATGTATATATTTTGTTTTACTTTCTGCTTTGGTTCCCTGTAAATATATATTTCTTGATTTTAACCTATTTCATTTGTGTCTTGGCATTTATTTCTTTGCTACAGTGGTTCCCACATTTAAAGGGACAGTGCTTCTTCAGGGCAGAACCCCTTCATGTCATTACACCTTGCACTGTTTACTTCTCCTGCTTATCTCATACAGTACATATTATGAAAGTATCCTTTTTCTATACGTTTTGCAGGAACTTAAAACCAATATTTTTAATTAAAAATGGACAATTTCTGAAGTTTGTTTGCGGATTACTACTTTATTACTTTACTTGTGGTTACCCTAGTAGTGTCGGTTTACTTGGATCCAGCACCTATTAAATCTTTTCACATAATGGTAGAGCGGATTTGGGTATTTTTAGGTTTTACTTCATACAGTACAACTCATTACCAATATGATTATTCCAGAGGGGAGCTGGTGGTCATTGAAAGCTAGTTTAATCCATTTTTCTGCTCTCGCAACTAGAGGACTTTCAGGAGCTATTTTCTTATGTCATAAACAATTTTACTGAAAAATTATATGTTTGCTATTTGCCCGCACAGCTTATAATATCTATGGTGTACAATTCTCACTGTGATATAGTTGCATGCTTTTGATGTCAGTTGTTTGTAACTAATATCTAAAAAAAAAAAAAAAAAAGTTAATTATATTAAATATATGCAAAATATTTACTGCTACATTTTTTGTGTGACTTTTTTTTTCTTTACTTCCATTTATTCCCCCCCTGTAAGGCAATGGGTAATATATGGAATATAGAAATCTCAGTCTCTTCATGGCTCACTATTGTCCAAATCACTTATGCAGAGAATATACCATTTGGAACCTACCTGCTTGATTTCCGGTAAGAATATAGCTTCAGAGGGAATGGCTCCCAAAATATTATCAGGTGGCTAATTTTACAACATGACAGGATGCTCCATAGTTTGCAATAATTTTCTTTACTCAACTCTATAGCAGCAAAGAAACAAAGAGAAAACCGAGCACCAATCGTTAACAAGAAAAGGTTATAAGAGGTGTAACTGTACCACCTCCTTTTTTGCTGCTCCATCCCAAATAAGTAAGAATTTGGGTTACCTCTCTCACTCTTTTACTGTGACGTTCCACTGTATTTATTTTTCCAATAGTTTATATTTCTGCATTCAACAGTTAGGTTTGTCTGCCTTAGCCTCCCATACTAGTTGGGAGTCTAGGCTATTTATGTATGTGTGCTCCCTGTGCTACTTCAGAACCTTACTGTAGTGGAGCTCCAATACTCTGAGCGAGTATCCCTGCTAAAGTCCTCTCAGGGTGGAAGAAATGCAGCTGTAGTGATCATAGCCCACCTCCACAAGCACTAGACGACACATAGTAAAGGGGAGAATAACAATTATTGCCACCAAGGCAGATATATAGGGACAACGGCAGCAGGGGATCACACACAAGGACACCAGTGCGATCAAATAATGAAACATAGCTCCATTTACAAATTATACATCCCTAGACAGGTCTCGTCGCCCCAAGTAAAGTGTCCAAAAAGCTCCCTGATCTGATGACCGGCGCATAGTTCCTGGCTGATCGCGGCTTAGTGTTGGTCACATAAATAGTCTGTTGTCTTCCTGGAAAAGGGGCGCTCCCCTTGGTTCTTAGGTAGTGATTGTTGGCTGTATCATCCTCTACCTCTCTTCCAAAAAGCACTCTCTAAGATGTTAAATTAAGGGAGTAGGAGCGGCCATTTTACTGGGCAGCCGCACTGGACCAGGCAGAGTTACATGCAATTTTCACCTGGTCCTGCTGGAGGTATTGCGGTTGTCCTGGGTTTCTAGAACTGTTTTGCAGCTGGAAGAGGAAGCGCTCAGTGTGAAAAAGCCTAGAGAAGAGTAGAAGGAGTCCTGCACCAGTTGTCCGTGTGAATTTGCAGGCTCCACCACACATACTTTCTAAGGTTTCTTTTTCCTAAACTAAGATTTTCATTGTCTGGAGGGGGGCAGTGGAGGGTGCATCTGTATTAACCCTCTGCCAGTTGCCATGGTTCCCTGGAGAGTGCTGGGCCTTAAGTAGACTTGATCCCTCTCCCGCCACGCTGTAGACCTGGTGCGGTGCACTGTGATTTTGCACATCTGGCTAACATGATCTTCAATTTAACCTGGTTATAGTTTACATCGGTTTAATAGAGCTGGTGAATTCATAATCCACCAACGTCCACAATCACGGGGGGAATATGATATTGGTGAATAGGCCAGTGATTGATAGCTTTTGTTTGTCCAGTAGTTTTCAACCTTACTGACGATGCTGAGCCATGTGTCTGAATGAATATTGTGGTAAAAATACAACCGGAGTGTCAAAGGTAAGAGTTCATAAGCATATACTTTTTTTTACTCATTCTGAGACAGCCCAATTTTCAGTGGATATTTCAAATCAGTGTTAGTGGAAACAAAATCACTTGCCACTAAAATAGTGTCACTATTGCCACTATTCGTGTCAACAAGGAAAGACAAGAAGTGCACCCTTCTCCACTGCACTTGTCCACTTAATAGTTCAATATGCTGTCCCTAGTTGCTGGTGAGGACTTGGGGCTTTTCATGTTATGTAGGACCATTTAGGAACTCATCCTTACCCTTGCCGATCTTATTTTATATCTGCCGTGTTTTCATGCAACATTTGGAGCGATATATTAATCTAGCCCTGAGGGTAGTAGACATACATGCTTTTTATATATTTGTGCTCTTTTTTCTATATTCTTTTTCTTTGTTATATATGCAGAGATATGTTCCTACCCCCCATAGGCAAACCCTGAGGAGATGTTGTTGTGTTTAAAATTCCTTTTGGACAATGGCACCTATTGGGTTAGTATGTTAATCTCTCATCTTTTGGGTGCATCACTGAAGACGTTTAGTAGAGGGTAAGAGAGCTGGCATACAGATTTTACATATTTTTACAATACATTTTGAAGTGCCAACACATGTTCATTCTAACCACATCTGCAAACTGTGAGATGACAAGAGATTTCAAGCTTGTTAAAACAGACCTTTTAATCTCTGTTCTTTTGTAGTGGTAAAAAGGTTAAATAAACAGTGCAAGGGGGAGAGATCAACAAAAATTAATACTTCTTTATTTGTTATGTATAAACAGAAAAAAGGCAGGTAGGATTTCTAATTGTACTGGGATTGCAAAGCTTTAAACACTTGCTCTCTGGAAAATCTGTTGCAGGGCTAGCCAATTGGTAGTTTTCCTGCTATTGATTATCCTTAACACCCGTGAACCTTAGATATAATTTGTGTGGGTACAGTTTAAAGATCATGTTTGTTGTAGTTTGGTGATAACACATGTGGAAAGTTGGCATTTCAGAGATGAGCCGTGGGTACTTAGGCCTTGGCATGCTAGCACAAACATCTACTGGAAATAGCTCACAAGTGGTGCCTAAACACTGGTTTGCTCCACCACCCATGTGAGAATACTTCTATAATTACATGAAAGTGTATCCTGGTGTCTTTATTATTGTTTATTACTTTCTGATAGATCCCCGTTACCTCTCGACTCCACTTGCCTGCCGACCCTTACATGTCCCAGTGTATTTCCTTTGCTCCCCAGGGCAATTAAAATCATGGGGCAAAACTCTAACTCAGAGGCAGAGAAGAATTTATTATAATATGGTAGATTTTTTCCTTCCAGTTCTGAACACGAGAATGGATTGAGGTTTGGAGAAAGCCAATGGATGCCTTTAAACTAAAATGTTTGTAAGAAATAGTTAAAAATGAGGGGAGAAAATCCTGAATAAAAAGATTAATCCGTAAGTTGAGTATAGCTTTTTAATTTTTAATTATTGTTACAATTTTAGTCAATTTGATAGGTTGATCTCTAATGAACAAACTTTCGATCTAGTGATTGGTCTTTTTGGGATGGACTCTCCATGGAATACAGGATTAGCCACACACTATAATGAAAATATTGTTACGTCATAA